TGAGCAAGATTTTTCTTATAGAAAAATATTGAGACAGAATCGCCACACATAACTATGTATATACTTATACCTATTATCTTGTAAGCAATTGACAAATCAAATAAATAAATAAATAAAAATAAAATATGAGGCCATCTTGTGGTGAGAATAAAATCATAAGTTTAGAATATAAACCTGAGTTTGCTTCTTATTCTCTGAACTGCCTTTTTTTTTAGTACAATTAATACCCAAACAATCAATGATTGAAAGCATGAACTTGGACTACCTTTACTTAGTTTCAGAATAGGCATGCAAATAAAAATAACAAAGCAATTCAAAGAATTTCTGGAGACTGATGCTTTTTTAAAAAGCCAATCTTTTATTATTTTTATTTAATCATTTCACAACATTTACAGCCTGCCCCAGCTAAGGAAATTCTGGTAGGAGTAGAACAAAGTGCAAAATAAAATGCACTAAAACTTGGCCTTTGGATAGTTTGTTGGACTTCAGAAAGGCTTATAAATTTAAGTTTTTCATCAGGCAATAGACTCTGAAAAATTGGAGTCTGAAGACAGGTATGAATGGGAACCTTTGAGATCTATTAATATATGATTGTATTTTAATATAAATTATTTATCTTGTTCTGTTCTTGTGCTGTCCAGAATTGCAGTGCTCAAGTTGGGCAGCTGTATAAATTCAGTAAATAAATAAATCTACCAATAATGAAAAAAACAAAAAAACAAAATAAGTCTAAGAATCAAATGCCTATTGGTTCAACAATGCTTTTTTTGAATATGTGTACTGGTAATAAATACTTCCACTGGAAGAATATTTCATTAAATGTGAGTCAATACTGGGGAAAAATTAACCACTACTGAATCTGGCTCACAGTTTATGAACTTCATGAGAGGGAGACCTGCAAAGTTCATCACTAGGAAATTGGGCAAATTCAGCAATTAATAGAAAATTCAATTTTTAGAAAGTCTAAGTACATTATATTTCCATAAGTTAAAAAAAACATACAGTTTGCCAGTTGAGAAAGTATCCAAGATATTATGATTTGTTGTTGGTTTCTCAACTTTAGCAACTTTAAGATGTGTGAACTTCAAATTTGAATAACAACTGATTCAAATTAGGTTCAAACATTGCAATCAGCTACAGTGTGATTAGCATCATATATTCACTCAGTTGTTATAGTTTGTATTTATCAATTAGCAATGTGAATCCAGCCAGTGACTGTTTACTTACCCTGCTCCCAATGTCTTGAATTAAGCCTTGCATTTTAGGATGTAATTGCTGCTCAATATTTATTTAGATTACATGTGATATATATTGATACTGGAAGATCTGCATTCAAATCCCTCTTATGTCACCAGACACGAAATAACGCTCAAATTTCTTCCCCAAACCCCAAAAACTTTAACCTTAGACTGTCTACTATTGACCTCACCCCTTTCCTAAGAGGTCTGTAGGGGGCGTGCATAAGCGCACCAACGTGCCTACCGTCCCTGTCTTATTGTTTCTCTTATTCTTCTTTTATTTTTCTTATATGTACCCATTTCATGTATTCACAACTATGTATTCACTTATACTTATTATCTTGTAAACAATTGGCAAATCAAATAAAAATAAATAAATAAATAAATAAATAAATTATCAGTGTTATCTGCATATCAGTGGGTTGTTATAAGTCAAAGTCAGGCACCTTAAATACTCCCACCATTTTTGGGACTGTAAGAATCCCGACAATCAGTAGATGGTAGGCAAGAATATTTGCAGGGAAAGTGGTACAGTACATGCATTATAGTACATATGGTACATCCATGACTCAAATCGGCGCGACCCTGCAAATCGTTCAGAATATATATATAAGTGCATCCAGTGAATTTACCTGTGAGATGGGGGGGAGCAGAGAGAGCGGAGCGGAAAGCTTTCCCGTTGCTAGGTTACCCGAGGAAACATCCTCTTTCCGCCATTGTCCTGCTGGTCAGGATGGTGGGCGGACTACCGGTTAAGAGGCTACATGGCACCATTAAGGAAGTGTATCAGGGGAAATTTATCGATCGGTTTCCTGAGCTCCCCACAGTAAGTATTTATATCTTGTGTTCATCCCTAGCGCCATCTCGGTCTTTCCGCTTTGGGATTAGTTGCCGTCCGAGCTCTTCGTTGCCCAAAGGACTCCCACATCTCCTGCCTTTTAGACTAACATTTGTCAGCTTCGGCATCTTGTAAGATTTTCGGAGATTGACAAACACTGTTTTGACCCCCTTTCCCGAGGTAGTTGTAATATGCTAACTTTATAAGAACTTTCTTAAGCCAGAGCAAAATGGGATTGGGGAGAGTTAGTGCCAGACCACAACCTAGGCGTTTAGTAATTGTACAGTAACAAAAATCCGGGCAAGTGTTAGATGGTCTTCTGGGATGGGACGCTCCAAACCCTATCAGGACCTAGTGAAAGTAAAATGAATGCTGTCTAATCCATATAAGGAAATTACCTAGCTAAACTCTGAAACTGGAGTTTATTTTCTTTCCTATGTCTTTTACCTGTGTAGTTTCACTTGTTCACTTTTTTGCAGGCTGGAAAGTTGATACCAATTGGAGAAACTGCTGCTACTTGTCTTACTGAAATCCTACCCAGAGTGAGTATTTTAATTCTTCATTCTATTATCTTTCCATTTAACCACCTTGTATGTGCATGTGCGTGCATGTGTGTGCATGTGTGTATTGATACAGATATATCAGACTCACTCTTGTAGGCATCACAACCCAAAGGTCCAATAGAAGAGAATACATGTAACTCAGGGTTGAACTATGGATCCTTATTGTTCTTTGAACTTGGTTGTTCACTTTCAGATATTTCATTGCCTAACCATGTAGCATCATAATTGTGAGTGTGGAGTTTATTTACTCCCTGTTTATATACAGCATCTTGCCCTGCCAATATTGTGGGGGGTGGGGGTTCTCCTTGGTAATTCCTTGATTGTTTTATGCTTGGCTTTTTGCTGCATATCTGGATTTTGGCTGCTGAAGAGAATGTGTTTTGGTCTTTTTGTTTCCTTCTTAGTTTTTTTTATTTTTTATTTTGAATTGTATGTAAATTTGGTTATTTCTATGTTTCAGTTCATGTCTAACCAAAAGTTTTTAATACATCTATGTGTATTCTAAACACATACAGTCTACTTATATGTGTTTATTGATAGCTGACACAAAAGTTCCAGTTTTATTAAACAACCCAGACAATTGTGGAGTCCTTGCTACTCTCTGAGCTTGGTTATTATTGGTGTCAAATTGTAATTTTGTTGTATTAAACTGTAATTTTTATTTTTTTTAGAAGTAAGACTTCAATTATGCAAAGGGAATCCTAAAGGTGCTTTTAAAAACATGTATAAATGTGAAAAAGTGGTTCATAAAAAAAGTAGTTCTGATGGAACGTTTAGGTTCAGAGTAGCCACGCCACATATTTAAGCTGTTTTTTAAATGATTGTTACCAATGGTTCAGGTACATTACCCTCTGAGAAAACAATTAGAGAATAGCTTCATATACTTAAAAATAGTGTGCCATGTTTAATACAGTAATGAAAAATTACAAAGATATATCTTCAGAACAATCAAGATATATAAGACTTATGGATTTTAAAAGATACTTCTGTTTTCAATTGCTAGCAGTTGAGATCCTTTGTAGAGTAACAATCAGTGAGAATATTAATAATATTACAGACATTACTTCTGCTTGAAATGTTTTAGTGTAATTAGGCTGGTTGATAATTATCAGTTGTGGTTTACATTCCTGGAGTACACCAGTTTGGGAATGACTATTAAAGGACATTAATGTCATATCCACAGTATTTCTCTTTACCCTCCTTTCCAATAATTATATATTTTGATGAACTATACTGTAAAATTTGACAAATTAGTGATATATTATCTAATTCTAATAAACGTGTTATTACTCTAAGGCAGGGGTCTTCAAACTTGACAGCTTTAAGACTTGTGGACTTCAACTCTCAGAATTCCTCCTGCAGTCATGTTAGCTCAGGAATTCTGGGAGTTGAAGCAGGGTGGATATCTACCGGTTCCACCTCTGTAGAACCGGTTGCTCCGAAGAGCAGCAGACATAGAACCGGTTCTATGTCTGCTGCTGTTGTGGCCCACCCACCCTGCCTGGGCTCTTACCTGACCTTTATTTCTTGCTTTTTCAACTGCAGCTGCTTTGCATGACACAGCTGCAGTTGAAAAAGCAGGAAAAAAGGGCTTTCCCAACTGCTGCGCACTTGCACGCAGCGCTGCTCAGCTGTCCGGGCAGCTCAGCAGGTTGTAAATTGCACTCGCACAACATGCACATGCGATGCTAATAGACAGAACCGGTAGTTATACCAGTCCGATCCCATCCCTGAGTTGAAGTCCAAAAGTCTTAAACTTGCCAAGTTTGAAGACCCTTGCTCTAAGGCTTTGAGTATATACAGGTAGTCCTTGACTTAGACCAGTTCATTTAGTGACTGTCTGAAGCTACAATGGCAGTGAAAAAAGTGACATGACCATTTTTCACACTTACGAACATTGCAGCATCTAAATGGGCACATGATTTACATTCAGATGCTGGAGAACTGGTTCATATTTATGACGGTTACAATGTCCCAGGGTCTCTGTGATCATCTTTTGCGACATTATGACAAGCAAAGTCAATGGAGAAGTCAGATTCACTTAACAACTCAGTGATTCACTTTATAAATGTGGCAAGAAAAGTTGTAAAAAGGGGCAAAACTCACTTAACAAATTTCTCAGTAACAAAAATTCTGGGCTCAATTGTGGTCGTACATCGAGGCCTACCTGTATTAATGAACTAATGCAGTTAAGACACATCTAATTTTTAAATAAAGATATTTATAAGAATGTACACTTTAAAATGGTTTTCATGTTGTCTTATAGCCAATTACGCCACCTGTTGTAAAAAAGTTTCGAAACACCAGCAATCCTCCTGCAGGTAAAGAAAGAGTATTTTATGGCCGAGCAAATGATCCTGATATTGCATCATATTTGACTCATGGAATAACAACCATCATTTCAGAGAATGTAAGAATATGCATATCTTTTCTTTTTTTCTAAACAAAGAAGCCATACTTTATTTTATTGATGAGAAACAGAATCTTGATTAGTTCTGAATAAGGAAAACTTGATGGACATGTTGAAATATGATTTCCTGTGTAAAATTATAGCTGGTATTTCCATAACTTATATCAGTCAAATCTCTGCAATATAAGTGTGATAAACTCAAGTCAGGAATAGTCTTGTCCTGCCTTGATTATTGAAATGATTTCTCTACTAAGCAACAAAATGAACATCAAGAAAAATAAGATTAATAGAAAGAAGAGCACTAAGCTAGGGAGAACCATAAACTTGTAAAATTGTAGAATTGGAAGGAACCACTTAGATTTTACTTCTTCATTAATACAAATAAAAGTGGTCCCAACAAGTGGCTGTCAATACTTCAGATAAACAGATTAACAGAGTTGGAAGGAATCTTGCAGGTCATCTAGTCCAACCCTCCCTAGCAGGAGACTCTACACTATTTTTGACAGATGGCAGTCCAGTTCTTCTTGAAAGCCTCCAGTGATGAAACTCCCACAACTTCCGAAGGGAAGCTTTCTCATTGGTTGATTGTTCTCACTGTCAGAAAATTTCACCTTATTTCTAGGTTGAATCTCTCCTTGTATACTTCACATGAATACATCTAGTAAACAAAGCCCATGATACCTTTTTACCAGTTAGGTTCACTGTTTTTACTGTCAAAAAGTTTTCCCTAACATTTATTTAGAATTTATAGTCCTGTAACTTAAATCATTATTACCCTGGGATGGCAAAGAAGGTTATGATTTTGTTTTGACACTCCTTCGGGTATTTATATTATTTTTCCCTATTTCTAACTGCCTTTTTAAAAATCTAAAATACCCAGGTAAGTCAGTTTAGTTTCCTGTTTCCTGATCATTCTTATTAACTTTTTTCTGTATGTATTCCAGTTTATATAAATCATTTTAATGAAGGATAGTCTTAAAGTATCAATCACTTGGTCCCCAATGTCTATGTTTGGAACACATTTTTTTTTTAAAATCATCTATAAGGTTGTAGTGTCCATAACACAGATATCAGTACTATATATTTTTTGTCACCAAAGACAATCTTTCAGGGACTTATAATAGTAACTCTTTGTAAAACTGAGTATGGTAGAGTCACCCACCGCTTGTAATAATTTTTGAAAAACAAAGGATTAGTTACACCTTTAATGATATTACATGATTTGTAACAGATGTATTTTAATGGTAACCAGTGTGTCTATGAAATTTGGATTGTTTCATATTTAATTATATTTAAATTGAATGTTTTGAGTAATGTATAACAAACATAGGAAATGATGAACAAATAGAAGAAATTCCAAGATGTTAATTTACACAATAATAGTATCTTAAAAAAAAATCATTCATACTTTTTTCCTGTTCTAAATCAAATTAATAGCTGATATTGTGCCATAGTGTTAATAAAATTAATATGATAGCATAACAGAAGGTATTTCAGCACTAATATATTTTATATGGGATAAAACTTCTTCAGGCATCATCATTAGTTAATCCACCTCCTAAAACATATTTCCAACAAAAAATTAAAGAAAAGAAAGAATCTGTCTACTTAAGTAACTGTCAGGCTCCTCTTGGAAAATCTCATGATCAGTCTCTACGAATGCCTAAAGGATTGGATGTGAATAATACTCGATTTGGAACAACAGTCAAACAAGGTAGGAAAATTAGTAAGAAAATACAGTGTCACTTCATGCTCTAATTTAACATGGAATTGAATAATTTATTTATTTGTTTTATCTCATCTTTATTATTTTTTATAAGTAACTCAATATAATAAACATATATATTACTTCTTTTTCTTCCAATTTTCCCCACAACAACAACCGTATGAACTGCCTGAGAAAAAGTGACTAACCCAAAGTCACCCAGCTAGGTTTCATGCCTAAGGCTCATACCAAAACAATATTCTGAGATAAACTCTGAACATCAAAATTAAGCATCTGATTTGCTGTTGTTAGCTTCAGATGTATTTACAGTTAAGTTGGATTGATCTATCATGCTATCCCATAATTTATTAACCCTGATTTTTTGAACAAATCTTAATATAGTTCATGCACAATGTTGATCCATAAACATTGATTTATAAATTACAATGGATAGGTATACCCATCTTATTAAACCAAGCCCCCAAAAGCATCTTATATTTAGCATATTCAGCAAACCCATCTATAGAGCTGATTACTAAATTATACTCAGCCTTTCATGTATTTTAAGTTGCTCCAATCCTGCTGCATCCACCAAATTTGGAGAAAATATATAAGAGATATTTGATAGACCTTCCTCTTGTATATTGTGATCCCTCCAGCCCCACAAAAGTTTCATCTGAATGTCTTTTGACGTAATGAATCTTCCAACTAAATCCCAGTAAGGTTCTGTTAAAAGCCAGGATAATTTTCAGCCTAATCCATTTCACATATGTTTGAATCAAAACAACACAGTTATTGTAGCCAGTTCTCATTGGACCTGTTCAATTCAGGTAAAGAAATTTTCAGTATCCTTATCCCTTTTTTTCTGATGGACTTTTGGAAGAATAACCATATTCTTCCTGATGAAAGAATAAATATATAAATACCTCTGTCAGTGATCTGCTAGATAGAAAATGTTGAGTTTTATGCATGGTTTATGCATGGTGGTTGCTATTATCTGATCTAAATCTACTAAAGAACGAGCACTGATTTCAGACAATTTTTTAAACAACTATTTTCAAATGAATGAAAATAAACCAACAGAGGAAATAATTATATTTTTATACATTTTTATACAAGAAACCAACCAAATATTGATATGAACAAATTTGAGAACATGAGTCAAGAAAAATTCTAGAAACTGTTCCTGTTATAATAATTGTTGGTGTGTTTGTTGATTAACAGCACACCATCTTCATTTCACTCTTTGTAGTCAGGATTTTACTAAAATGTATTCCAAAAAGTTTTAATTTATAAAATGGATTCATACAGACATATCATATCATATTTATTTATTTATTTATTGAATTTATATTGCTTCCTATTCACCCATGGCGACTCTAGGCGGCTTACAGAATGTAAAACAACATTTAACACAATAAAAACTAACAAAAAGAATCAAATTAATAAAGTACAATATAACAAAATCACCCCCAAACTCCCATCCCCCACCCCGACAACAGCAGATCACACCAGCCATTTAATGGGATCCATCCCGCTCTGGGTTCCCCAGGCCTGCTGGCAGAACTAGGTCTTCAGTGCCTTCTGGAAGAGTATTAGAGGGGGGCATTCTAATCTGGGGGAATGATGTTCCAGAGGGAATGCCCTTCTTCTGAGTCCCACCAGGTGTATCTCCCTCGGGGATGGGACCTGTAACATTCCCTGCCTCCCTGCTCTGATGGGTCAGATAACCTTGTCCCAAGCCATGAAGAGCTTTAAATGTGACGACCAGCACCTTGAATTGCACCTGGAAGCAAATTGGCAACCAATGCAGCTCTTGCTGGTGAGGTGATACATGTGCACACCAGGGTCTGCACAAAATCATGCAGGCTGCTGCATTTTGCACAAACTGGAGCTTCCAGAATGCTCTTTAAGGGTAGCCCCATATTGAGTGTGTTGCATTAGGACTATTGCTATATTGCTATTATTCAATTATAAATATATTTCATGCATGCATGGCTACACACAGTATGGTTTACTATAGTTATACAAATAAAAAACCCTGGAACTAATTATATGAACATTTATGATTTATATTAGATTGTTTCATTACATGTATTGACTGATTTTCAGAGATATCTGCTGCAGACATTGTAAATCCCCGAAAAACATTTGATGAAGTCCAAAAGGAAGCACAGGAGGGACATGACTTATATGTTTCAACACACAATGATTATTATGTTGGTGAGTAAAAAGGACAACTAAATATTGTGAAAAGCTCTAATTGTATATGATCATAGTTTGTTTAGCAAAGACATGTTTATTTTCCACTTTATAATAAGGAATAAAATTAAAATTTCTCTTGAAATGTCTTTTGAAGATTTGGTTAAATTGATAGTAATATATTTGATAAATGGAAACAAAATGGTCATAGGAATAGGAATGCATACCTAACAGATAACAGATAATCAGAGTTGGAAGGGATCTTGTAGGTCATCTAGTCCCAATCTAGCCCAAGTGGGAGACCCTACACCATTTCTGACATATGGCAGTCCAATCTTTTCTTGAAAGTCTCAAGTGATGGCGCTCCCACAACTTCTGAGGGCAAGGTGTTCCATTGGTTGATTGTTCTCACTGTCAGAAAGTTTCTCCTTATATCCAGGTTAAATCTCTCCTTGTTTAGTTTCCACCCATTATTCCTTGTCTGGCCTACAGGCACTTTAGAAAATAGCTTGACCCCTTCCTCTCTGTGGCAGCCCCTCAAATATTGGAAGATTGCTGTCATGTCTTCCCTGGTCCTTCTCTTTACTAACTAGCCAAGCCCAGTTCCTATAATCATTCTTCATATGTTTTAGTGTCCAGTCCCCTAATCATCCTGATTGCTCTTCTCTGTACTTTTTCTAGAGTCTCAACATCTTTTTTGTAATGTGGTGAACAAAACTGGATGCAGTACTCTAGGTATGGTTTTACTAAGGCTTTATAGAGTGGTATTAGTACCTCCCTTGATCTTGACTGTATCCCTCTGTTAATACAACATAGGATTGCATTAGCTTTTTTGGTTGCTGCTGCTACACATTGCTGGCTCATATTTAGCTGGTTGTCCACTAAGACTCCAAGATCCCTCTCACAGTTACTGCTATTGAGCCTGGTTTCACCCAGTCTATATGTGTACTTTTGGTTTTTCTTGCCTAAGTGTAGGACTTTACTTTTTTCTACATTGAATTTCATTTTGTTAGATATGGCCCAGTGTTCTAGTCTGTCAAGATCCCTCTGGATCTTGAGCCTATCTTCTTGGGTGTTAGCTATTCCTGCCAGCTTAGTATCATTTGCAAATTTGGGAAGTTCCCTTTCTATTCCCTCATCTAAGTTGTTAATGAAGATATTGAAGAATACTGGGCCTAAGATGAAACCTTGTGGCACCCCACTGCTTACTTTCCTCCATGCAGACTTAGACCCATTAAGGACTACTCGTTGAGTACGGTTTGTCAGCCAGTTGCGAGTCCATCTAGTGGTGGTTCTATCTATTCCCCATTTTTCTGGCTTACTAAGAAGTAGGTTGTGGTCTACTTTGTCTGATGCCTTGCTGAAATCTAAATATATTATGTCCACAGTATTTTGTGGTCTACTAATTTAGTCACTATGTTGAAGAATGAAAGATTGGTTTGGCATGACCTCTGATAGTTCTTTATAGGAGGTTCAATTATGGGTAACCCCCAACTTATAACCATTTGTTTAGCAACCATTTAAATTTATGGGTGCTGAAAAAAATGGACTTACCATCTTTGCCTGAAGTTATGGCTGCTGCAATGCTCCTATGATATGTTTGCAACTTACCCACATTTACGACTGCAGGGATACTTCTCAGGTCTCGTGAGAAAAGATATGCTTTTTGTGGAAGAGCAGGGATTCCATTCTGGTGGTGCTTTTTATAACATCATTCTCCAAATCATGTGTACCATTCCTTTTCTAATCCATGTGCCCATTTTCGTGAGACTAGGAAAGACAGAAGTGTTCCAAAGGATTATAAGAATGACTCTTGTGGCTTGAGGAAGTAATGGGATGTGCCACTTGGAAAAAAGTTGAGCTTCTAAAAACCAATAACGTGGGGCTTGAGATGGCATTTCTCAATGGCAGTGGTATTGCTGTAATTGAAATACAGGTCTGGGGGCAATGGTAGCTGGCTGAGACTGGTGAAGAGGAAGAGAAAAGTAAAGTTTTATACCTAGGCAAGAAAAACCAAATGTATAAGTACAGATTAGGTGAAAACTTGGTTTCAAAAACAGTAACTGTGAGAGGGATCCTGGAGTCCTATTTGACTATTTAAATATGAGCCAGCAGTTTGTGGCAGCAGCCAGAAAAACCAATGGAATCCTTGGATGCATAAACCAAGAGAGAATAGAGTCGAGATCATGTGAAGTATTAGTACTGCTTTATAAAACCTTAGTAAGACGACGGCTGTAATATTGCATCCAGGTTTGGTCACCTCACTATGAAAAAGATGCTGAGACTTGGAAAGAGTGCAGAGAAGAGCAAGTAAGATAATTACCAGCCTCAAGACTAAAACATGAAGAATGGTTGCAAGAATTGGGTATGGGTAATCTAGAGAAAAGAAAGACTGGGGTGACATGATAGCAGTGTTCTAAGATTTGGGAGGTTATACAAAGAAGAGTGGGGGGCACCCTGTTTTCCAAAGCATCAGAAGGCAAGACAAGAAACAGTGGATGAAAATTGATCAAGGAGAGACGCAACCTGGAATTAAGGAGAAGCATCCTAAAAATGAGAACAATTAACTAGTGGAATGGCTTGCCTTCAGAAATTAGAGGTATTTCATCACTGCAGGATTTTAAGAAGACACTGGACAGCCACTTGTCTGAAAAGGTAAAGGGTATCCTGCTTGAGCAGGGGGTTGGGATAGAACAGCGGTCGCCAACCAGTAGGCTGCAGCCCACTGGTGGGCCGTGAGAAAATTTTGGTGGGCCGCAGAGAAATCTCACCCCCAGAGCACCCCCCAAGCAATTAATCCAGACTGCGCAGAAACACAAGGCTGCACCGTCCACATGGTCCGCAGGAACCCTCCCTGCCCACTCACTCCTTACCCGGCAAACTTGCCTGCTAAATTGATATTTTTCCTTTTTCCTACCATCATCTGTTCTGCTGTGCTGGGAGATTTAGATTAGCTAGGAAGCAGGAAATGATTGGATTTCTTGCTTTCTAGCTAGTTTTTAGATCTTCAGCTCTGCTTTTAAGCACAGCCGAAACTCCCTTGGGACTGAAGGTGCTATTATTCAGTGCAGACTCAGGCAAGCAAATTTGAGAGACTGAGCTAGCCAATGGCAGATAGATAGATCATTGAATGATTCCATGAGCAGCTCAATCTGCCTGCCTGTTTTGCCTGATTTTGGGTAAAAGTTGCTCTTTTTAAAAAAATGAAAAAATCAATATTTACATACCTGGTGTGTTGTGAGTTAATTTTGTGAGTTTGCTTGCAAGCAAATTTTATGTGACAGACTGAATTAGCCAATGGCAGAAAGATAGATTTCTGAATGAATCTGTGATGCTGTGAGAAACTATATCTGCCTGACTACTTTGCCTGATTTTGGGTAAAAGTTGCTCTTTTTAAATAAAAAAATCAATACTTATATAAATATTTATAATATTTACATACAAGCCATGCCCAGCCAGTCACATGACCACCAAGGCACACCCACAAATTAGGCCTTGCCCACAGAACCGGTTAGTTGTCCCTGGGATTTAAAATTATGAGTTTGGTGGTCCCTGAGGTCCAAAAGGTTGGCGACTCCTGGGCTAGAAGACCTCCAAGGTCTTTTCCAAATCTATTATTCTGTATTATTTTGTAGGATCCCAGGCTTGTACTACTGTATCCCCAGCCCCAAGTACTACTGTGCAGTGCAGCTAAAAGGATATAGATTGGGAAGGGGTGATGGGGGAGAAATTGCAGCCACTCTGCACTTCTGGGCTAGATGGGTGGCATTGCAGCATCCCCAAGATAATAAGCTACCTCCCCCAGGTTTCCCAAGACCTCACTGTGGGACCCAGCATTCCTTACCTGGGACTCCTTCTGCTTAATGACCTGTAATTCTTCATTAACTGGCATGCCAGGATTGTGACCGTTAGGCAATGCTGTCACATGACATCTCTCTTTATTACTGCATCACTTAGTGATTAAAATTATGATTTCAAATGTGGCATGTCAAGGACTACCTATAAGCCTTTAGGGGAATATTGATAATATGAGCTTATTAAATTGGAATATAGAGCATGTTTAAAATTATTTCCTAGCATAATTTTCTCTTCTAAGGTTATAACTTCTGTCAAGTTTCAGATAATTAGGCTCAATGGTTTTATGTTGTTATTGAACAATAACCGAATGAAAGTTAATGAAAAATGCTGCCAGATAAGTGGCTCAAGTAAAATGTAGCTTTATGCTATTTTTAAAGTTTTTTTAAATTAATAAAATAACATTTAATAAAACAAGTTGATTCCTTAATTTTCTTTATTTTTTTGTCTCATCATAGATTTTGCATTACTCTAATGTATGAAAAAGTTTAAGTGTTGGAAGCTTTATGACAATCTGAGTTTGAGATTCCAAGCTTGAGGTCACTTTATCTTAAAATAATTCTATGAGCTAGGTCAGGGGTCTGCAACCTTAAACACCCAAAGAGCCATTTGGACCTGTTTCCCACAGAAAAGAAGCCACCAGAAGCCACAAAACCTGAGTGGGGATGGCCAACTCAACGTCACTCCCACCCAGTCCCATGACACTCCCACCCAGCGATGCCTACCCAGGTTTTGGCTCCCGGTGTTTTCTGTGGGAAATGTTTTCTGTGGCTCCCGGTGTTTTCTGTTTTTTTCTCTTTTTCCTCTGCCTCCCCCCCCCCTCTCTTTCTTTTTCTTTATCCTTCTCCTCTCTCAATTGTTTCCCTCTCTTTTCCATCTCTCTCATTCTCTTCCTCCAGCTCTCTCATTTCTTTCTCCCTCTCTCCCCCGCTTCTCTCTCTCTTATTTGTTTCTCTCTTTTTTCTCTCTCTCATTCTCTCCCTCCATCATTTTCTCATTTCTTTTTCTCCCCTTTTCTCTCTCATTTGTCTCTCTCTCCCACCCTCTCCACCTGTCTTTCTGTTTCTCTCCTCCCTCTGTATCTCTCTGTATCTCCCTCTCTCTCCCCCCTATCTCTCTGTCTCCCCCTCTCCCTTTCTTCCTCCCTCTCTCTCCCTGTCTCTCTGTCTCTCTTCCCTCTTTGTGTCTCTATGTCTGTCTGTGTGTGTGTGTGTGTGTGTGCATGCACGTGTCTGTCTGTCTGTCTGTCTGTATGTATGTATGTATGTATGTATGTCTTCTCTTTCTGTTGGAAAGCTGACACTGGGCCAAGCTGGTGAGCTCTCCTTGGGGCTCTTTGCTACTCCTTTTCTTTTTTCTTGACAACTTTTTGGAAATCCAGGTGGCTGAGGGACAAGGGCAAGCCATGGTGGAGGCTTCCCTTTGGGCAACCCTTCTTCTCCATCTCCCCCTCCTTCTCCTCTTGCGATCCCCTGGCTGGCTGTGGTGGGGGGAGGGTACGCATAAGCAGGAAAACCCTTCTTCAAGCAAGCAGCCACCTGCCCCATGTGCGCCTTTGCTCTGCTTTGGCTGAGCCCGGCTGCTCGCTTCTCTCCGTTCATGCGCACCCTCCTGGCCCCTCCTGATATCTTCAGATATGATTAAAATATCCATTGGGTGATGATAGTGGGAATCTAAAATATTAAGAGATCTCTAGGTTCAGTGAATAACTAAATAAGAGTAGTGTTAGGGTTTGTTTTTATATTATATATGCTTAAAGAAAATCTCACTTGACTTCTTTCAAAGTTAGCATTTTTGAAGCCAAATCATTGTCTTCCCCCCTATTTAGTCTGCCTCTTTTAAAACCTTTATTTTATTTAAGCTTACAACTCATCTTCCAATGCTATTGTTGTTTGATTAATACACTCTAAACCAGGGATCGGCAATCTTTTGGATCTCAGGGACCACCAAACTCATAATTTTAAATCTCACAGACCACTAACATGAATTTTGACTGACAGTGGCTTGCTGACATTGGTGGGAAAGTCAGTCCCATATTCTAGAGCTGCAAGAGTCACAGGACTGGCCCTTTGGTCATCTTGGAGCAGCTGCTCCTCCACCTGGGTGCACCAGCCGGCAATGTACTGGAGGAGCTGCTGCGGGATGACCAAAGGGCCAGTCCTGTGACTACTGCAGCTCTGGAATATGGGACTGACTTTCCCACCAACGTCAGCAAGCTACCCCGGGGCAGATTTCTCTCCCCCGCTGTTGGTCTTACCTTCCAGTTCCAGCTCAAGTGGCTCTACTCAAGGTAAGGTTTGTGCTTGGACAAAGGGTGGGGGCCAGTAGGTGGGCGGGCTATGTGGGCAACACAGCCTTGTATTCCCACACAGCCTGGATTAATAGCTTTGGGGGAGTGCTTTGGGGGGGACATTTCTCTGCGGACCACCAAAATTTTCTCACAGACCACCAGTGGTCCCTGGCCCACTGGTTGGTGACCACTGCTTTAAACAGTGGTGGGATTCAAAATGTTTTACTACCGGTTCTGTGGGCGTAGCTTGGTGGGCATGGTGTGGTTTGGTGGGCATGGTCGGCATGGCTTGGTGGGCGTGGCTTTGTGAGTATGGCAGGGGAAGGATACTACAAAATCTCCATTCCCTCCCCACCCCACTCACCTGCTTTCCAGCTCCATTCTCCTGTGCAGGGCAATAAAAGAAGCCCCAGCCAATGAGCTGGGACTCGGGAGGTAGAGCATAGATGGAGGTAGGGCCAGTCAGAGGTGGTATTTGCTGGTTCTCCAAACTACTCAAAATTTCTGCTACCAGTTGTCCAGAACTGGTCAGAACCTGCTGAATACCACCTCTCACTCTAAAGATTGCTTTCAACATATATTTTATTCTAATTTATGTCTCATTGGATTGCAATTTGGTAACATGGCCAGAAAACATTGTCTTCTCTAGCTGTATTTAAAATGTTCTTGTTTTGCTAACAACAGAAAAATGAAAGCATTTTTTCTTTTGACTTGTTCCTACACTCCTACATGACCGGGGAGGGGGGGACGTGTTTGCAATGGCATTTTCTCATAGTATGTTTGAAAGACCCCTTAAAATAATTTGGAACTAGTTTGGGCCAAAATATTTACAACTATTTTTGTTAAAAGAATAAAACACTTTTGTGCAAAACAGATGAAGCTGGTGAGGTTAGAATCTCATTTCAAAAAACTCTAATTTGTAAACAAGTAATAGCAGAATTTTTCAGAATTGAAGAATGAGTGGCTATATGGCTGTTAATTTAAAAAGATGGGAGGGGAAGGTCCCAAGTTACATTTAAGGACTAATATTTAAAGGGTTCCAAAATGCACTGAAGCAGACAGTTTCCTTAGACCTATAACTTCCTAATTCTCTGGAATAAACCCTTTGCATCTATCATGTTACTTGAGAATGCTAAACAGGGAGAGGGCTTATTAACCTAGCAGTTCGAAAGCCTTGACAATAAATGACCATGTCCCATTTTCTCCAGGAGAGGCAGTGAATAGAAAATATAATCCATCCACATTCAACAGATTTAATCTTCATGGTAAAGAAACACCACATTTTAATGATGGAAGGAATATTAGTAGAACTTTACATTGGGTACCTGATCTGCAGATGTAAGTTATGTTTCGAATTCATAACTTTTGTATTATCAATTAAGTTACAGTGTCAGGGGTCTAAATATTATTAATCATAAACCTGATTAATCCCCATGAATTATTTTTTCTTTTGGTCACATTAAAAGTATAGTTTGAAATGTGGGGGTCATATCAAACACATTTGAGGATTGGGTGCTACTCTAGGGTCCTTAGTTGTGAATCTGCTTTATAGAAATAGTTAAGTATTTTTTTCTTGCTCTTTTTAATTGTCAGCCCTTTTATATTTGTTTAAGAGATAAAAATGTACACATTCAGAAATACTTTAATATGAGTTTTGTATGATAATTGGTACTTCTCAGTTTCAGGAGATTCTGATTAATTGTGTTGGAGGTCCAGTGATTTAAAATGCTTTGACTATCAAGATCCTATTTTAATCCTGTCTCCTTTTTTGTTACACAAAATATTCATCTCTATGTTCTTTGCTTATATGGTCTGATAAATGAATAGTTAAACTGGCAGAAGGAGCTTAATACAACAAAATGAAACACATACTTTAAGAGATTGCAGTACTTTATTCTCTAGTTGACTTGATCCAGTTTGTTTGCTGACTTTGTCTAACCCTGTTCCCTAATTACAATGTTACTAAAATGGCTTTAAATCAATTATAATTAACTGTGTTGGTATAGCATTTGGTATTGCAAGATTTTGAAAATTAACTCAAAATTTGAATAGTACTTGTCATCTGGTTGTGGCATTACAAAACTTGTTGATAATGTGATTTGAAGAGAGATGTCAACAATTATCCCCCCCCACCCCCACCCCCAGGACTCATTAAAAATCCTTCTTCTTTGGTATTCTGATTTAGGCATTTTTCCTCTATTCTTCTATGTTCTTTTTTCTTTTTAATTTCTACAGGAAGAAATCAGCAAAAATTGTGTCTAAAATAAGTGATGATTTCAAGGAAAAGTTTCAGCCTCAGATTGGAAAAGTTCATGATCTGTAAGTCAGCTAAGAGAATTCTACATTAAGATCTTCTAAAATTGATTATTCCTAAGAACTTATTCACAAATTGGTTCAATAGCTGTTTGGGGCTAGATATATCTTGGCAAACTCAGATTGCTATATTCATAATCATGTAGCACACCACATTGCCTTATCTCAGCTTGGTTCTTATTCTGAGATTTTTTTTTCAGGTAGAGACCTTACTTTTTCTTGTTCCTCTGTTATGCATGCTTGTCCTGGTTCCATGATGCCAATAGCAATAAAATGCTGCAGAGCATTAAAATTGTAAATTTGTCTGAAGCAGTTAGGCAATAATAACAACCTGCTATACCTCATCTACAGCTGTATTCTTTTGTAGACAATTTGCTTTCTCTTGGACAAACAAGACTTAATTGAGGAAAATGTCTCAAACTCTGGTATACTATACCCGAATAATCATTCCACAGGCTTGGAGAACAGTACCTTAGTGAACACTTTTTGCTTCATGAATACTGAATATATGCCTGATGATGGCAGATGAGATTCTGCCGAAACGTTGCTACAACTTTAAAACCACAACTATAATGACGTGGGAAAATACCCGAACAAAGCTGAATACCATATATATGTGTGTGTGTGTGTGTCTGTGTCTGTGTATATATATATATATAATCTGCCATCATCAGGCTTCTGTATTGTGTTCGTCTGTGAGTCAGACTTTTATAGTTGTTTCAGTTTTAAATTTGGGGCTAGACTACTGCTGTGCCAGAATGGTTTTTTCTTCATCCTGATTGGTTGGGAGTCTTGGTTTGTGTTTATTGGTCTTGGAGTTTGCTGTGTTCTGCTTGATTGGTGTTTCTAATATCTTCTGTCTGTTTTGTGGCTTTTTTTTTTGTCTTGATTGGCTGGCAACATTGTGTTCCTGTATTGGAGGCTTTTAGTGCAGCTTGGCTCCGAGTAAATGGACGGCTATCATTTGTTAGGAAGCTAGGTTTCATCTGGGTGCCTGGTTGGGGTGTGTTTGAGGTGGAGGCATCAGGGGGGATCTGTTTGTGCCCAGGTGTTTGCCTGGCTTGTGGTGTGGAGATTTTTTTGTTTGTGAGTGCAGGCTTCCAAATAATTGACAGTCTGGTGGAATCATCTCTTCTATTCAGGCTTTCAGGTCTTTTTTCAATCTCTATGGCTTCTCTGATAATTCTGGGGCTGGGGTTTTCTATAGTGGCTAGGGTTTTGGTGCCATTGAAGTCGATGCTATGACCTGTGGCTTTCATGTGTTGGACTAGTGAGGAATACTAGGATACTACACAGGCATCACATCAAGACTGCCTTCAAAACAGACAGAAAATAGCAGCCATCCTTAGAAACCCCAAAGATGAAATTGAACTGGAAAACCAAGGCATATATGAAGTCCCCTGTGCATCATGCCCAGCCACATACATTGGACAGACCAATAGAAGAATAAGTACCCACCTGGATGAACACAAAAATGCAGTAAAAAAGCTGGAACACACTTCCTCATAGTAAACAATTTTATGCAAAATACTGAAAGAATAAGTGGTAGAAACAAAATAAAGGTAGGCAATAAAAACAAAGGAAAGAAAATCAGACTAAATTTGGATGAATTTATTTTTTCTCAGTATTGCCCAGGGATTGCAATCTTGGACCAGTGGGCTCATTTTAAAGTTTGAGAGTACATTGTGGCTATGTTACAAAATTATCACCATGTCAGACCCTGGGGGAATGATGTTTTTTTTTTGTTTTTTTTGTGTTTTTTTTTCAGGATAGCTACTCCAACAGGCATATCCAATTATATGGATATGTCTGTTGGATTATGTCCTGGAATCCTTTCAGTTCCCATCTCTCAGGATTATTTCGTGGAGAAAAAAGCAAGATATAGAGAAAACAGTGAATGGATCAACTAATTAATAGCCTTCAATTAATAAATCAAGGGTACAGAGACCCATAATAGATGTTACCTATATGTTATTCTCTATTTCAGTTGTCCAAGTGATAGAAGTACATTGTAGAACAAAACCTCACATTTCTATTGTGTTTCACTGATTTATGGATGATGACAGAGAATAGACAAGGAAATCCAAGGCATGGTGGCTTCAACATGATTTCTTTATCCATATTTCATTAAATATTTTTCTTTGACAAATATAAAGAGTGTTTGTATTTAAAACAAAGATTATACTTCACTGAAAACTAAAAACAATTATTTTCATTTTCAGCATAGCAGATACGCTTAATGTTCCTCCAGACCACACATTTGGAATACTTATTCGGCCTGAAGAATATGGCAAGCATAAAAATAGTTTCTCTTATGTTTTACACCTTTGAAATATTATGTTAACTTTATTTTATTATCTGAAAATCAATGCTCTCTTCTTCTCTGTGATGAAGTTGGTACATCTATTCTAAAATGGGCAAATTTATGTCTTCTAGGGCTTTATTTTAATAGTCTTTTGGCATTGGCCATGCTAGGTTAGAATTAACGGAAGGAGCTGAGTGGTTGTTTACCAAATAAAATGTTAAAGGAAATAATTCAAATAATTCAAGGCTCACTTTCATAACCTAAAAATATTTTTTGTGTGCCTTATCTGCTAGTCTAGAAATTGGAAGAGCAATGGAACATATTGTGCTTCTTAATTTATTGTTCAGTTGCTCCTGTGCAGAGTTCCAAAAATTGATGTTTGCCCATAGAGCTCTGAATTATTTGTGACATGACTAGCTGGAGATATATCTGCCTCCATATGTATATGCTTACATGTTACTATTATTCTCAGAGGCCCTTTTTGTGTGTGATTAACGTATGTTCCTTCTAAAATAAATAGGAAGTAATCAACAACAAAAAATATTTTTGTGGTGATGGCCTACTTATATTATTTTGGTATAGGATGACCTTATTTTTTCAGGTTGTATTCACCAAGCATTTCAAATATATTCTTCGAATCTCAATACCTGGATAGTATCTTTTTCTTTCCGTTACCCTTACTTTTTTTTTTGCCTCCTATCATTTTCTTAGCTTTTTATTACATTTAACATTTACTTTGTTGTTATTAGTGGATTCTTTTATGTTCCTTGTACATTTATTAATGGAAGGATGTGATTTAAAAGAGAAACAAGAGATTTAAAATAGAGACAAGAAAACAGCATCATAGTTATTGTCTACCAGTAAAGCCAATCTGGATATATTTGCATTATGGTGCAAATTCACTTTCAGAATAGTATTGTGGAAGTATCACAGAGCAATTTAAAAGTTTTTATAGACTGTATCTCTTATTTAGGTGTTGGGGACCTTCTTCATAACCGGCTTCCAAGTGAATATCTTAAGGGTAAAGACAGAGAACGTGCTGTCTTTACTGCAATTCGACAAAATTTGAAAAAGGCAAATTATCACAACTTTGATACTTTACTGCATGCATTTCGTCATTATGATAAGGTAACTGATATTATATTAGCATTGTCAATGATGTATGAAGCTTTAGACTCCAGTATTCTAAATTCTGCAGCCAAAAGTAAAATATTTCTATTTATTACTCAGTTGGTAAGGGGTAGTTGCTGATAAAATGATAATCACTATCACCCTATAGCAATGAACTCAAATTCAAAAGGGATAGCACAGACTTCTGAGCTTTGCCTTTGACTCATGGTTTGCTCATGGACAATAATGGGCTAACTACATGAAACATGAATATCACCAGCAAATACTCTCAGAGAGAGGTAATCGAGAAATGTTGTGGGAATGCTGGTGTTAATTACATTGGCTTATCCTGTGCTTACATTCTGACCTATTTTAAATTATTTATGATTATTGTACTTAAACTTTCTGTGAACTAATAGGAGAACAACTATAGAAAAATTGGTATACAAATTGGTGGTATGCAACATACAAATCTGTTGTTACCCAAATGTTGTTGAACTATAGTACCTAGCATCATTCATGTTTCAGAATGATGGCTGGAATCACAGATTTTTCAACCATCAGCAGATGGATCTCTTCAGTGGTGGAATTCAAAAACTTTTACTACTGGTTCTGTGGGCGTGGCTTGATGGGTGTGGCCATGTGACTGGGTGGGCATGGCTTTTTTTTTAGCCTCCACCTGTTTTTGGGAGCTTCCTAGCCTCAGAGGAGCCTCGGGAGGTGTTTTTGCTCCCCTAAAGCTCCTCTAAGGCTCAGGAAAAAAAGGAACAGGGCATGGGAAGGGCACACAGCACTCCTCCAAGCTCTGTTTGGGGAAATCCTCCCCGCAAGAGCCCCGGGGGGGGGGGGGCATTTTTGCTCCCCTAAGGCTCCTTTGGGGCACTGGAAGGCAAAAAATGGAGGGGGGACTGAGCTCCTCCCTCCATTTTTTGCCTTCCTAGGCCTCAGCAAGGGGAATCCCGGCACAGCTGATCATATCTACAACTGATTGTCGGGAGGGAAAAAAAGAAATACCTTAGGTGAATGTCAGGCAGGCGGGCGGGGTGAGCGAGCATCGGGCGGGAGGGCAACTAGGTGGGGGGGCGTGGCCAGCTAGAACTTAATACCAGTTGGGCAACCCACACCAATTTTTTGCTATCAGATCGCCCAATCCGGTGCGAACCGGCTGAATACCACCACTGGATCTCTTCTTAATTCATTTCATGCATTGACTTGTTCGGTGACCTTGTCTAAGATTTGTAAATGTGTGAAAAAATACCTGTCTGTGATAGTTTATTTTCATACTGTGTGATCAACCAGAGTGGGTATGCACTGTTTTTTGCCAATTAAACAGTTTTTAATTGGATCCAAGAATTGAGCCTTCTTTGCGTGGTGCCTGCCCTATAGAAAAGCCTGCCCTCTCCCTCCAGAGACCTGTATGACTTCCCTTTGACCTTGTTTAGAGAGTCTTTAAAAACCTGGCTTTTCCCTCAGGCCTTGTGTTAGGATATGTGCAAAAAAAAATTCTGGATATATATTTGTACATCCAGAAGAAAAAAAAATCAAGCATTGTTTTTTCTTGTTTATTTTGATTCTTGTAATTTTAATGGTGAATGAATGAATATCAGAGTCTGTATGGATCTAGGTAGCTCTTTAATTTTGATTCATCTATCTATCTATCTATCTATCTATCTATCTATCTATCTATCTATCTATCTATCTATCTATCTATCTATCTATCTATCTGTCATCTATCTATCTAGAGCAGCGGTCACCAACCGGTGGGCTATGGAAAATTTTTGGTGAGCCGCAGAAGAAATGGTCCCCAAAAGCAATTAATCTGGCCCATGCAGTTCTCGCGCCTCCCGGCTCTCGGGACCCCAAAGTCAGGTCCCTGAGATGCACATGCCAACCAGCTCCCACACACAGTGGCGGTGGCAACAACAATCCCTTCCCCCAGTGCCCACTGTCAGCTCTTCCCCATTAGTTCTCTACCTTTGAATTGCTCCCAGCTCTCTTTCCTTCCCCCTCCGCCCCCCTGCCCACATGCAGGCAGCCAAGGAGAGGGAGACAGAGCCGTGCACAGCTCTCAGCTCTTCCAGCCCTCGCTGCCTCTCCCAACATCTAATCCTCGGAGATGCAGGCAAAGCTGCCGCAGCGGTAGCACCCTGAGCTGCCTTAGCATGCTTGGTTAGTTAAGAATTGCCCTACCCAGAGAAGGAGGTGCTGGAGGAGGAAGAGGCAGTAGAGAAGAAGCAAGCATCTCTGAGGCTTTGATGTTGGGAGAGGCAGCAAGAGCTGGGAGAGCTGAGAGCTCCACATGGCTCTGTCTCCCTTTCCTTGCCTTCCTGCACATGGGGGGAGGGGGGAGGAAAGAGAGAGAGCTGGGAGCAATTCAAAGCTACAGAACTAATGGGGAAGAGCTGACAGGTGATGGGGGAAGGGACTGTTGTTGCCGCCGCCGCCATGTGTGGGATGTGCATCTCAGGGACCTGACTCTGGGGTCCCTCGGAGAGCCGGGAGGTGCAAGAACTGCAAGTGGGAGCGTTTGGTGATTTCGAAGAACTCCTGAAACATGGTAGATTGGCGTTTTGTAGGTCTCAGTGAAAGAGTGAGTTTGTTTCGCCTCCTTTCCTGGTAATGCAAGAGATGCTTTCTCTCTCCCCCTCCCCCACCCCCAAATAATCACTGGCTGTGGCTGGGTTTGGCAGCGAAGTGCTAAAGTGAACCAAGTGCCCCCAGGGACACCTTTCCTTGCCTGTCTCCAGGTGAGCTGGAAGAGCCCCCCCCCAGCTTTTCCTAGGCTGCAGATCTGAGTCTCTCAATCCTCCACCCAGGATTTAAAAGGAGCTTCCACTTTCTCCCACTCCCCTCCCCCAATCAATCACCAAGAGCAGCAGTCCTTCTGCAGGCAGATGCCTGCTGAGAAGCCCCTGGAGTGGCAGCCAAGGGCCACTGCCCCCCAAGGAGAGCAAAGCCCCCTTTCTGCCTCTGTTTCTCCCAGAGGCAGTTGCCCTGAGGCCCCTCAGCTCAGACACACCCACACACACACACACACACACACACACACACACACCGCCCACTCTTCTGGCTATTTGGAAGGTGCCAGGTGGGGGGAGGCTTCCAGCCCGGAACATTTTATTTTATCATTAAGCATTTACATTTTTGTTATAATTAAATAAGTAAGTGTGTGTGTGTGTGTGTATCATGTATGTATGTGTGTATATGTATGTGTATATAGGTATATAGGTTCTCGCGGGTATTTGTATGTGGATCTTTGGTTATTCGAGTTTTCTCCCGCGTAAGATTAGAAGTATCTAGGCAATGTTTCGATGAAGTCTCATTCATCATCTTCAGGCTTGCTTCTTCTCAGAGTAATGTGAGCTTGCAGCTGCTTCTTCCTTTTAACTGCTAGTGGGGGGGTGACTTGATTGGGTGGGGGCTTGGCTGTGTTCTGATTGGGTGGGGGTGTGTTCTCATTGGTTGGGGGTTTGGCTGTGTTCTGATTGGTTGGGGGGTTGGCCATGTTCTGATTGGCTGGAGGTGTGTTCTGTTCAGGTGGGGGCTTGGTTGTGCTCAGGTTAGTCTTAGTTGCTGGGGGATTTGAGCTGGTGAGCTGTAATCCTGATGTTTGGCTTCGTGTTCGTGGTCATGCCGCATCTTCATGGTGGGTGTCAGTTCGCTTCATGTATGGCTCGGAGGGGTTTGAAACGGGTAGTGATGCAGCTGCAGTGAGGCTTCTGGTCCGTGGTCGTGTCTCATCTGTGTGGGTGTGAGTCTGCTTTCTACATGGAAGTGTGGTGGTAGCATCTTGTGTGGCCCTCATGGGTGTGGGTCTGGTGTCATTCTTCATGTTAGGGCAGGTTTCCAAATGGCTGGTAGGCAGGAGGTGTCATCTCGTTTATTCATGCTGTGTGGACGTTTTTCTATCTCTATGACTTCTCTGATTATTCTGTTGTTGAAGTGTTCAGTTTTGGCGATAGTTCTGGTGTTTTTAAAGTCAATCTCATGTCCTGTGGCTTTGAGGTGTTGGACCAGGGAAGAGGTCGGTTCTTCTTTTTTGATTGAGTTCTTATGTTCTTCAAAGCGTGCACTTATTCTTCTGTTAGTTTGTCCGATGTATGTGGTGGGTCAGGCGGTGCAAGGGATCTCGTATACCCCTTGGTTTTCTAACTCGATTTTGTCTTTAGGGTTTCTTAGGATGGTGGATATTTTTCTGTTTGTGCAGAATGCTGTTTTAATGTTGTGTTTTTGAAGGATCTTGCTGATTTTGTCTGTAGTGCCTTTTATATATGGGAGGAGGGCTTTGCCGTTCTCTTGTTCTCTGTCTTGGATTTTGGTTGGGGTTTCTTTTTGGATTAGGTGGGTAATCTTCTTTCTTTGGAATCCATTGGCTGTTAGTACGTTAGTGAGAGTGTGTAGTTCGGTTTTTAGGTGTTGTTCGTCGGCTAAGCATTTTGTTCTGGAGATGAGTGTCTCAGCTACGGAATTGATCTGTGCTGGGTGGTGGTGTGAGAGTGCGTGTAGATAGCGGTTTGTATGTGTTTTCTTCTGGTAGATGGTGTGTCCTAGGGAGCCATTGGATTTTTTTGTATACTAAGACATCTAGGAAGGGAAGTTGATTGTTAGCTTCTGTTTCTATGGTGAATTGTATTTTGGGGTGTAGGCTGTTAAGGTGTGTGAGGAAGTTGTTCAGTTTTTCTTTCCCCCACCTGAACAGAACACACCTCCAGCCAATCAGAACACGGCCAACCCCCCAACCAATCAGAACACAGCCAAACCCCCAACCAATGAGAATACCCCCCACCCAATCAGAACACAGCCAAGCCCCCACCCAATCAAGTAACACCCCCACTAGCAGTTAAAAGGAAGAAGCAGCTGCAAGCTCACATTACTCTGAGAAGCATAGAGCTGAAGACACAAGCCTGAAGATGATGAATGAGACTTCATTGAAACATTGCCTAGATACTTCCAATCTTACGCGGGAGAAAACCCGAATAACCAAAGATCCACATACAAGTACCCGCGAGAACCTCAGAATATATATATATATATATATATAAATATATATATATTTATATATATATATATATATATATATATTGCATAGTTGTAGAATTATTGTAGAATTATTTATCTATAACTATGCAATATCTTTATTATCCATTTTGTTGATATCAGCATTATGATATCATAATGATATCAGCATTATGATTATTATTGCTTTGTTGTTTTGCATGTACACTGAGAGTTCTGCATCAGAGACAAATTACTTGTACGTCTAATCCTACTTGGTCAAATAAAATATTCTGTTCCATTCCATTCTATTCCATTCCATGACAGCACATTTAACACCATTAAACAACAATATCTGCCTATTTCAGATCCTTGGGGAAAACTCAATATATTGGCAAAAGTACCAAATCCAGTTTTAATATCTAAACATGTGATCCTCTACTTTTTCCCTTTCTATCTGTGGGCTGTTTTTGTTTTTTGTTTTAAAAAAGATTTACAATATTCTTTTGCCCAGTTATCAGAAGCAAACACATGCCTGCTTATTTAAATGAAATATTAATTGAAAAGATAAATCATTTATTGTGATTCACTGATTTCCTAACATATAATTCACATATTTTATTCATCATGAATGAAGCTTTTGTAGCTTATTTTATTGCATTCCATCACAAAATAAAACTGCTTTGATTTTATTTGACCAGAAGAGGGCAGCCTAGTCTTTCAACATCAGGCAGAAATAGCCTGAAAAAATATATAAGAGAAGTTGGTTAGCAATAACTATCAGGATATGGAGACTTGCAAATAAAATAAGAACTTGATGAAAAAAGAAAATGTTTTCATAGCAATTGTCCAAGACGGAAACATCAGACAGGGCAGTGAAGCATAATTTCAGTTAAGAATTCCATATAGCATCCAAACATTGCCACAACAAATCATGTGAGTTAACATTTCCATATGAACAATAACAATAATTAGCTCTACTTTTAAAGATCTTGTTTCAAAAAGTGCTCCAGAACATGCAGAAACATGAATGCAATGCAGACATATGCTTCTCTAGGGTCATCTATCAGGAACAATTCTGTTGTAACTATGCTTTAATGCAGGGGTCTCCAATCTCCTGGCTGTAGCTCAATACCAGCCTTGAGCCATTCAGAACCAGGCCTTGAAAATGGTGGATGAACTAGCACATGCACATCCCTACTTGTGCAAGCAGTGAATGAGCATGAGTGAATGTGTCCCATTTGCACGAGTGGTGGGCACGCAGGCCTCCTGCTCATGGAAATGGAGCTGCATGCCTGTGCACTTGCTCACATTCATGCAGAATCATTAACTCTGCATTAATGGACAATTGAATTCTGCATTCAATTGTTCCCTTAACTCTGACTTCAAGATATTTGACAAACTGTAGCCAAGATCACTTTCTTATGGTGCAGCCTTCTTTTAATCATGGCCCATAGCTGAGGTTGCCAAACTTGAAGTGTTGAGTTCTAGTGTAAAAATATTTTATTTATATATTTTATTTATTTATTTTGTCAAGCAATTATAAGATAACAGGTATAAGTATAAACATAGTTATGAATACATGAAATGGATATATATATAAGAAAAATAAAAATAAACAAAAGGACAGGGACGGTAGGCACATTGGTGCACTTATACATGCCCCCTACAGACCTCTTAGGAAATAGTAGACAGTCTAAGGTTAAAGTTTTTGGGGTTTGGGGAAGAAACCACAGTCAGGTAGAATATTCCAGACATTAACCACTCTGTTGCTGAAGTCATATTTCCTGCAATCAAGTTTGGTGTGGTTAACCTTGAGTTTGTATCTATTGTGTGCTCTTGTATTGTTATGGTTGAAGCTGAGGTATTCATTGACATTGCAATATATAATTTTATGTACTATACATAGATCAGACTGAAGGCGGCGTAGTTCTAGGTTTTCTAGGTCTAGAATTTAAAGTCTGGTGGCATAAGGTATTCTGCAATGAGTAGAGGTGTGGATAACTCTTCTTGTGAAATATTTCTGGACTTTCTCAACTGTATTAATATCAGATAAGTAATGTGGGTTCCACATGATGAGCTGTATTCAAGTATTGGTCTAGCAAATGTTTTGTATGCTCTAGTTAGTAGTGTGATATTACCAGAGAAAAAGCTACGTAGGATTAGGTTAACAACTCTTAATGCCTTTTTGGCTATGTAGTTACAGTGGGCTCTAGCACTTCGATCATTAGAGATGAGTACTTCAAGGTTCTTGACAGAATTTGGATCATCAACAAGGTCTTGACTATTCAGCTTGTATTTTATTTTCTGATTTTTTTTTTTGCCAATATGTAAGACAGAGCATTTATTTGTTGAGATTTGAAATTGCCATTCGTTTAACCATTCTGATACATAGTTGAGGTCTTTTTGAAGGGTAGCAGCATTGTCGGTGATGTTGAATAGCTTTACATCATCAGCGAAGAGAATGCAGTTGCTCTTAATATGATCACAGGGTATATTTTCCATATACTGTTGATGCAAAGTCTATAGCAGTGCTTTACTGGGGACAAGGGTGATAATATGACAGAGTTTGAAGGAAAACTCCCCCAGATCCTCAATCGATGCTTGGTTTATTCGGCTTTATTTGCTGTTAATTACTCAAATGGAACTACACTGCTTTCTTCTAAATGATGTTGAACCATAATTCCCAGTAGTCTTCATTACTACATAGGTTAACAAAAAATGTTGGGAATTGCAGCTTATCCATATCTTGAGGACCAAAGAAATCTCTCTTTCAATTTAAATTCTATGATTTAAGGAGAAATGAACAAAATATCCTCATTTTTCAAAAAGCTACCTTATTAGCTATAGAGAATATGAAGCAGAGGTGGTATTCAGCAGATTCTGACCAGTTCTGGAGAACCGGTAGCGGAAATTTTGATTAGTTCAGAGAACCAGCAAATACCACCTCTGACTGAGATTTTACAGTATCCTTCCCTTGCCACACCCATCAAGCCACGCCCACAGAACCGGTAGTAAAAAAAAATTGAATCCCACCACTGATATGAAGAGAGCATAAGTCAAATGGTGGTAGAAAATTAAGAAAATGTTGATGCAGCCAAGAACAGAAGAAACAAATAGAAATCAGCCATATATGGTAATGGGATTGAATAAAGAAGGGAAACATTTGTTACAACACACAAGTTGCCGCACCCCAAAATATTGTCACTCTTGGAACTCCCTAAACTCTACCCATAGCTGCTCATCATCATCAAGGCAGTTTCCCACCGTTTTGTTGTCTTCAAAACTGTAAAACTCCCAGAAAATCCACTTCCTATCCATACATCCATACACCTCTAAGTTGTTATCTCATTTCCTAATGGTCTAAGCAATCTCATATACAATAAATGAAGTTCCCACCAAAAGACTGCATATCTCTAACTGATAGATTACTAATATTAAAAGGAAATAGATAAGTCAAAAAACAATCCTTTTTAACATGGATTACCTGACTATGTGATAATTGTGATATATATTTTCCTTCAAGCCATGCTTGATTCCTGGTGTTGTATGGAGTTGTCCATATAATTTTCTTGGCAACAGTACACATGTTGCTTGTTAATTCTTTCTTCTGGGATTTTTTTTTTGTACTTTTTTTTTGTAACCCAAAGGCCTGATATTCCCCAGTGGCCCAAAGTTAAGAAAAGAGTATTTGTTTTCTGCAATTTTGCAATGTACTAAAAAAAGATCTTAATGTTTGACAAATTTCCTAAATAATTTACAAACCAAAGCTTATAAAAGACAAAGGAGTTTATTTTTTGAAAGGTAATGGGAAAGTTCTTATTTTAAGACTCAAGTTTGAAGAACATATGATAAAAAATGAATTCTAAAGATGTATACGGATGTATTTTAAACCTTAGTTTTTTCTATAAAAAGATTCTCTTCAAATCTCTAGAAATTACCATGTACTGAAATTTTTAAGAACTTCAATGGGAAATTACTTATGTTCTAAGTTTCTTGCTCTTTTATTGATATCTTCTCTTGTAATATATGGAAAGGTTGAAGCCATTCTGAAGTGGGACTAGATAAAGACCTGTGTTTTAGTAACTTCATAATTTAGATTTTGGAAATTGTTTCCTAAATGTAAGAGCAATTCAGCATGAGAATCATAGAGTTGGAAAGGGCAATTTAGATCATCAGATCCAATCCCTATTCAGTGCAGCAATCTAAATTAAAGCTTCTCCAGAAGATGGTTGTCTATTCTCTGCTTGAACACATCTACCGAAGGGATATTCACATCTCTTTTGATAATTGATTCCACTGTCAAAACTGCTCATATTGTTAAGAAGTCTTTTTTCTAATGTTAAAACTGAATCTGATTCCTTGTAATGTAAATCTATTATTCTGTGCATTCCAGAATGATAGAGATCAACTTTTGACTTTTTTCTGTGTGATATTCTATCAGATATTTGAAGAAAACTGCTGTTTTTTCTCCCCCCAGTGCTGCCCTCCCCTCCACTATATCTTTTCTTCTCAAGCTAAAAATATCCAGCTCCTGTAGTTCCTCTTCCTAGGATTTAGTTTCTTTTTTTGTTTTTCATTTGAACCCAGTTTTTCTGAATCTTACTTGAAATGTGATTCCTAGATCTGAACACATTTTTTTCGCAGTAGGTTTTGCTAAAAATAAGCTATAAGATGCAACTTTTCCACAACTGATTAAAAATCACTAGGCTTAAAATAAGGCAATATTAGTCTGGCAACAATTTGGATACATCTGTGCTCCTTATAGTTATTGCTTTGTTTTCAAGATTTTTTACAGAATATCACTTCATGAACTGCTCTTGATCTTTCCTAGACTGTTAGCGCTGGTTTGTAGTTTCCCAGATTCTCGCCCCCCCCGACTTTGAAAGAAAAGATACTAATTTGATACTTCACCAAATCTTCAAGTTTTCTCAAATGAAGTACATACAGTTCAGCTGCATCCCCAGCATCTCCCTTCAGAATTGTCGGATGCAATTCACCTGACCTTAAAAGTAGAATATATAGATCTTACCAGACTATTTTTCTAACATTTCAGGCTTCAATTTTGCTCTCTTATCTTGTTCTTCATAATGTCCTGTACTTTCTTCTTGGATAAAACTGAATAGGAACTGGCCAACTTCCCCACTCCAATTTGTTAGAGTATTGTTTTCTTTGCAGCTCATAACCTGATTTCTTTCTTTTTCTTTTATTTTGAATATGTACAAAAATTTCTCTTTTTGGTAAGGAGATTGTAGAATTGTCTTTCTTGAAGATGCTAGGACAAAACTGGAATAGACATTCTGCAAAGCTATTTCAGAAATCTGGCAGGTTCAACATTTTTGTATATGAGACCTTCCAGTGGCAGTAGCTTTCTTGCTGTTTACTGGACATACCATTAACTTCACAGCATAGTATTTGTTGTGCTTATAATGTGACCAAAACACATACTTCCTAACAATAGGATAATTACAAGGTACTAAACACACCATGTGTTTTTGTGATCTGTAGAATTGCAGTTCTTGGCTTCAGTTTACTATATTATATCTTTGTTTGCTTGTTTTCTGTTCAGTTCTATATCTGTAAATATGCATAAGTATGAACAAATAGTATTTTTGAACCTAAGCATTACATATACTTTCAAAAAAGAAGATATTAATTTCTTTATACCAATCTCTTGAGAGAAGCATGGTGTTTCTTCTTGTCCATTATCACTTTGGTGGTTTATTAATCATTTAGTTGATTTCAGAAGCTTATATTTCCCCCCAAATAATTTTTACAATTCCTATGAAAAAAAAATCCTAGCTTGAATTTCTTAGCTTATGTGTAGCGTTCATTTTTCCGAGCAGCATATCTTCATAGTACTGCAACTCTAAAACAGATTTAGCAAAGCAAGGATATCATGATTGCCTGAGACAAAAACAGCCAAGGAAAATATAAATTTATGAATAAAATTGCAAAACACTCTTTACTGCTTAAGGAAAAGTATGACATGTTCCTGTAGTCTTCAGGAATTGAACACAACCTCTAAAA